TGTCCAACACAGATACTTCGCCCAACCTGTTTCCTAGCTTTCATCGTAAGTGTCCAACACAGATACTTCGCCCAACCTGTTTCCTAGCTTTCATCGTAAGTGTCCAACACAGATACTTCGCCCAACCTGTTTCCTAGCCTTCATCGTAAGGGGCAAAGAGAAGCCTTTCTCTTTGTGGTATTCCCCCCTTGCCTGCGTTAGTTATCCCTTATCATCCCTCGTATTCCTCCTCTTTATGAGATGTGGGATCGACCTTGCTGTTTCTACATCCTTTTGGATGATAAGGCATACCTATCGATGTTTTAGCCAGCCTTTGCTCCGATCATCATGGCTTTTTTTCTCCCTTTGCCCTTCATTTATGGGCACTCAAAACTCAAGTGACCTTTCTTCTTGCAGGACCAACACTCTATGTTTTTCATCACTATGGTCGGGCTATCGAACACGGAGTCATAAGTGAATTACGAGTCGGACCCTTTTGCGAATCGAGCGAGAAAATTTAAAACCTGATTTCCTCCATAAATTCAGTAGGCACAGGTATCAACGTCTAAGCCCACATTAAACATATGATGACCCCAAACCAGAAATCCAAGAACTAGTCTTTGCCATCCAGATGTGGAAAATTATTTTGACGGGAGGAGATGGTGAAGTGTCCAATGACACGTGTTTGGCTGACTTGCAGGTTGGGCCTGAATTCATACCAGACTCTTCTTTGTTTGAGCTGTGCTCCCACGCACGCAGACCGGAAGATCCTTGACTTGAAAATGAACCAACATTCCCATTGTTCTTGTTTCCTTTGTTCAAAATAGAATATGTAGAAACTTAGGGTTCACCTATGGGGTCTCGGTTGGCAAGCAGTTAATCGATATCTGGAATTAGTTCCCCTTCCTTACTTAATGGGTCTTCCTTAATCGATCTTATGGGTCTGAGTACTTGAGCCTTGAAAAAGGATCTCACGTTCCGTTCTATTGTGGAAGCTTATTTTCTTTGATTTTTGTGCTGGAATTTGAGTTATCTCTCCTCCTCTTTCAATCGACACACTCGACAGAGATAGGCTCCGGTGGCCTCGGCTTATACCTCTATCAAGCGGCCCTCTTATTTGTTCTAATTGGGGAGCTTTCTATCCCCATTTTTAGTGTTTTGTTTTTACAATATTTTCTTTCACTCTTTCTAGAGTTCGTATCATTTGTTTCTTTTCAATTTGTTTCTTGTCAAAAAGAATTCACTTGCAACTCTTCAACTGCTAAAGACTTTTCAGAAAATGTAGTCTTTCTTTGTGTATAATAAAAATGAAGAGGATGAACGAGACTTTTGGCTTTCTCAAAAGAAGATGGCTGCTTGTCTGTAGAATTATCATGCAAGGCATCTGTAATTAATGGTACTTCGATTTCTGCTTTTTCTTCAGGATCATGCAAGGCATCGGCATTTAAAAGAACTTTGTTTTCCACCTTCTCATTAAGTTTTGTGGGGCTCTCATTGATATTCAGAAACAAATTTTAAACTGGAATAACTCATCAGAAACTTTTCGTCTCCTCTTTCCTTAATAATGAAGTCAGATTCATTGTTAAGTAGAAATTCCTGACCATTTCCAATTGCTTTATTGACTATCTCAGTATCATCGTTATCATCTAAAGGAGCTTCAGAATGGGCTGCCAAAGCAGATTCTCTTTCTTCATTTCCACCAAAATTTGTGCTATCATTAAAGCAACAATCTTCAAACGACTCTTCATAATCCATTGAACTGAATAAGTGCTTGTCATTTAATGCACACACAACATTTAACTTGTCAGTTTGTAATTGATGGTATTTGTCCTTGGCTCTCTGTTCTTGGTTACTTTTCTCTTCGCTTCCTCTGGGGAGTTTGTATCTTTGAACAATTTTCTTCCTTTTCATATATCTAATGAAAAGTTTGTTTCTTGTTAAAAAGAAAAAAAAAACTTCAGTGCAAGGCTTTTCATAGACCGCATTCAGAAACCTTTCATTCTCTACACGAGCCACCTTTGGTAGTTCCTTCTTGAACCGCTTCAAAATTCGTAATCAAATGCTTATTAAATAACCCATCAACCTCTGCCAACTCATTAAAAAACGACCCTTCGGATTCCTTACTCTTGGCAATAAAAGAGGCATTGTTAGATGGAAGAGTCTGTTCATCTTACAAGACTTGCTTCACTCGTTGTATGTCAATCTTGTTAGATGTTAGATCTCAATGTCCTTTTTCCAGATGGTAAAGTCGTTGATGAAGTTGCTGGCATGCCCGAAGTTAAAGGCTCTTAAACATTTCCTTTTGTGTCCTTGCATCTTGATGGATGGTTTTGCTTATAGTTAGCTTGGTCTTATGTGCTTGTATTATCTGTTCTGCTCCTAGTTGGGTATATTTTTATCTTTTTTCTTTTCACTTTTCTTCTCTCTCTTTGGGAGTTTTTTTCTTTGAACTTTTTCTCCTTTTCATATATCAATGAAAAGTTATTTATTGTTAAAAAAAAAACTTGAATCCAATAGATGTGCATAAGGAGGCATTAAAAGGTGAACATTTATTGCTAAAAATCAATGTTTTAAAACTCTTTCAAGGTGTAAGCCTTGAGGTGCACCTTTTGAGGCGCGCCTTGAGGGAGGCAGCTGTAAGGTGCCACAAGGCCTACGCCTAGGACAAATAAAAAGAGGTTTATGCCTTTGATGATAGAGATCACTTTTTGTATCTTTTCATCTTTTCAATGAGAAGTTCGTATCTTGTTAAAAAAAAATATTATCTTTTTGAAAATTGAAATATACATATCGATTAACTGCTATTAATAAAATACTAACTTCATGTGTTTTTTTATTACTACTCAATTGTAGGTGTGTCAGCTTGAGCACCAACTCTTTGATCATTTCTTTCCATCTTCTTCCGATAATGTTTCAAGTTTGGCACCTTTAATAGATCCACTGTAAGTATACTGTCTAGTAATTTCAATCATTAGTGATGAAATTCAAATAACGTCTGCATTCTTTTTTAACATGGGAATAGCCTAAGAAAATCCACTTCAAATCTTTTAAGTCTAATTTTGTAAGATGGGGACACATTTTAATAAAACAAGTACAAATAACCAAGGAACAAGGGATACGTTGAAAATATATCATTATAAGGGATCTCATCATTAAAAACAGACGATGCCTTGCGATCAATTATTGAAGCAAGTTGTCAATATTGCATCAATCCAAAAATTCTTTGAAATGATAATACTGTTGTAGCTTCTAGATGTCTATTCTTTTGTTTTGTACCTCCTTTTGGGATGGAGTATCAACACAAAGGATGGTTGATGAATAATTTCATTGTTATGCAAGTAAGATCCAATGGACCATTTGGTTAAGGTTTGTTGGATGTCCATGGGTAAAAGATGTTTGGGAATAATGTGTATGAGAATAAGTTGTTTGGGAATTAAAGATGACTAATTGTGTTATGTAATTGCACGAGAATGTTATCAGATTCTTACGAAAATAAATAATATTTGTGTTTGTTTCTTTTGAATTCATTATAGAAATGTTATATGATTATGAAACACCTACTAAAATCATAATTAATTATAAATAAATTTATTCTAAATAATCTGTGAATTAATGAATTGGGGGTCTTTTTTAACCCTCTGGGGCATGGTGGGGATCTCATCTCTACTTTTTAAGTTCCTATTCCATGTAAATCAAGTTTTACTAAACATAATAGTGATATAGAAGATTTTTTTTTTTAATTAAATAATAATTCATGTCTACCAATTGTAACTTTCTTAAATAAATATTATGAGGTCATTCTTCAGGATTTCGATTATCTTATTTTTCTATTTTTTTAATTTTTATCTTCAATATTATTTTAAAGTCTTGGTGGTAAAAGTATGGCTAAATTACATGGTTGTATTTTATTGGCATTAAAGGCATAAGTGTTTTTTTTTTTTTAATATTTTTGAATAATAGAACAAATTAATATTATTCTTCTAGTCATCACGAAGCGTAAGGACTTAAAGTTCATGTACATTCTCATGGAGATGTAAGCCTTGTATTTTTCAAAAAAATTGTATGATTCAAAGCTAAATATTTGAGCGCTGCTTTGAGGCTTGCTTCAAGGCGTAAACCTTAAAAGCCTTTTTAGAACATTGAGTGATATAAATAATTTCAAATGGTGAATTTATTGGATTGGTATTGCACTTGGTTGAATGCAAATTTTACCTATGCTAGAGAAATGAGTCAAATATATTAAGTGGCTTTAAAGTATTACATGTATTTTTGAACTCTAATTAAACAATCTCAAGAAAAAAATGGGCGACTCGAACGAGGTTAGGAATGCTCTCTTCTTTCTCGCCCGATGGGTTCCAAATTGTAAGTTTTTCTTCATCAAGTTCTTCAAATTAACGTCCTATTCAAGTTCATCATCTTGCTAGGCTTTCTTTGCTTGCATTATGGAGATTAATAGTTGTTGCATTGAGAATAAGTACTATTGGATATGGTTTGAAATGAATGCTATTTTGTTGAAGATACGGATATTAATGCTCTGCTGCCTCTTTAAGTATCTCATTTAGTTTGGTTCCAAAATAACTTTGTCGATCTGTTGAACAATCAAATTCTAGAATTCTATTCAAGGAAGAAAGAGATGATCATGGAACTTGTAGAATTCGAAAGTTTAGAATCAACCTAAGATTCCATGTTGAATGTGTTGTGTGGTCAATTGGAGGAAGAGTTGATCTCTGCAAGATACAAAAAGGTAGATGACTAGCTTTTTGGGATATGCAGAAGGTTTGCTTGACAAGATCTAAATATACATCACAAATGTTGCCCTCAAGGTTTTAGCCTTCTTATGCAAAAGTTCTTTAAGAAAAAGGAAAACTTGGCAAGTCATTTGTTGATGTGGTGAAGAAAGATGGCAGAATGGGAAACGAAAAGCAGAATGTCAATCTTCGTGAAGATCCAAAAGCAGCTGTGACCGAATTTATTGAGAACAAAAATGATTTGGTTGAGAAGGGAGTTTTTGAAATGGAGAAAATTGCTTATTGGATTAAAAAAGATTTGGAAAATATCATGGTAAGCATGAAGCTGAATGCTCATGATTGAAGAATCTAGATAAGGAAGTCCAATAATGAGATTGGATTGAGGAAAAATATTCGAACCTTCTTTGCCATCCTCACAAGGAAAGAAGGTCTCTGCCAACAATTCAATGACCGATCAATTAATTCTAAAGCCCATTTCGCTTCATAATGATCTGATTGAGCCTAGTTGAAAAGGTGGTTAGTGTTTTTAGTTGGATTCACTAATTCAACCAATGGAATCAATTATAAAAGATCGTCCTTTATTGAAGAAGAAGTTGAAATCAGATATAGTGATGAATCCGAAGAATAGGAAGGGGTCCTGTTTTCATTATTCCAAGAAAGATTTATTCCCAAGTCAAATAACATTAATGATGATTTTAACTTCTTACAAGAAGCCTCCTAATTTGAAAGGTTCCAATCAGATTCTAGTTTCTAATTCTCCCAAGTTCTCTGACATTCCAACAAATGTCATCTTTTATTCAGATGCGTGGTCTTCAAGTTTATGAAATTAATTCCAAAAATCAGTAAAGAGAAGCAAGATGCCTTCTTTTGAAGACAATTCCCTTTTAAAGGGGGTGGTTAAGAAGTCTTGGATTTCATTGCAATTAATGACAAGATGAAGGATGAGAAGTTCAATTGAGCCTTGTGTTGCCTTGACGGTAAGACTTTATTTGGGGCTTTTATTGAGTTGTTTCCGAAGATTGGTACATTGGGGCATTAATGAGAAGTCCTCTTAGTTTCCTTGAAAATAATCACTTTTCATTAATTTTGAAGCTGAAAGGTCTTGCTTGTTTTAATAATATGCTTTTAATTGCCTGAATCTCATGATTTTCAAGTGGTTTGGAAGTCGATACCAAGCAGATTGGCCTTCCAAGGTCATTTCGTAGATCGAGGATTAAATTTCTTTGAAGACAACGTATGATTGTGTGCATAGGAAATTTGAATTTCCTCTTCCCAGTCAGATTACATCAGGGTGCAGATAGTGGGTGTTCAAAAATTTTCTCTCTCCAATTTTCTAGGATCAGAGTCTTTCTATATCCATTGTTTGGAATATTAAAGGTCCCTCTTTTTTCTATTTATTCATTTGAAGGGTTTTTGAATTGTGAGTTTTCAGTTTTGAGGTCAAATGAATTCTCATTCTCCGTCATCTGAGTTATCCATGAAGCCTCCACTAAACCTTCACTTGCTTCATTAATGAGCCATCTAGTGACTTTTTCTAGACTTGAAAAAGGCTGGATTGGTCACCCAAATATGTTATTGGAAAGCTGCACAAAGAAATGGTTTCCTGTAGAAGCTCATGTTAGAAGAAAACTTGAGTTGCAAATCGAATTCAAGTAGGAGTTAGCAGAAGCATATGTTAAAATTCTCAAAAAGTACAAAGCCTTGGGCATTGAAGTTAAAGATTATTGAAGTTGGTTTCTCGTGGGTTTGAGGATTTTGCTGAAATATGGAACTCTGGAACCTCCTCAGGTTGTTAACATGATCTTCTTTGCCGGTGAAAATCTAACAATATTCCAGCTTGAATGAAGTAGTTAAGATTCATTATGCACGTTGAGATTTTAGATGTTTTTTTCATCAAGATTTTATTCTCTTGTATCACTTTGGGAGTTTGTATCCTTGAATTGTTCTTCCTTTTCATTTATGGTTGTTTCTTGTAAAAAAAATAAATAAATAAACAACCTTGAGATTCCACAACTAATTTTGTTTTCTCCATTTAAAATGATTTTTCAGTGATATTTGGCATTTTATAATTTTAGTGCTTTGGGAAGTATTTCCAAATCACAAGCTATAATCTTGATTCTGATTTTATTTTATCAATTCCTCCCCTAGCTTTTTTTACTATTTGGATATGGTTGTTTACCATTTATTCTGTTGCATAAACATGTTGGGTGGCTATAACTTTTTGTGCAGGTCTACGTACCTGTATGATACATTGCGTCCTAGACTTGTTCATGAAACAAGTTTGGATTTTCTGTGTGAACTAGTAGATATTCTTAAAGTTGAAGTTCTGGGAGAACAACTCACTCAACAGGGTGAATCATTAGTTGGATTACGTCCTACACTTCAAAGGATTTTGGCTGATGTTCATGAACGGCTAACATTTCGTGCTAGGACACACCTTGGTGATGAGGTAATTTTAATCCAAATATTCGCTTTTATCCTTTGGTATGTTGTATTCTCTAATGGTTATATCACTTATGTGGGAAATAGTATCATTATATAACTTATGCTAGAAAATATATTGTTTTTAACTCTAACTTTACTAAATTTCTCAAATGAATTTTAATTATCCCCCATCATTAATAATGTAACTAGAACTAATTGGACGACGGTGAAATTACTATTAATTTAACCAGCTTAAACTTTAGAGTTCTATATGTTATATCAATCAACACCTTTCGACTCAAATATTACTCGGTCTACATGACTCAAATATTACTTGGTCTATATAGCTTCTTGACAAATAGACCATAAATTTTGAACTAAGGAGAAACAGGTTGCATATGTATTCGAACTTAAGAGTATGCAATCGGTCATTTATATCACCAGGTAAGATTCATTCATGCATCCTCCCAG